CGCTGCCGGGCGCTAGTGGCCGAGCCGCGCCCCCTGTGCAGAGCCAGAGGGATGGTGGTAGTCACGGGGCGGGAGCCAGACAGCCGTCGCCCGGCCGGTGCCATGTCCAGCTCCGACGCCGAGGACGACTTTCTGGAGCCAGCCACCCCGACGGCCACGCAGGCGGGGCACGCGCTGCCGCTGCTGCCCCAAGAGGTACCGGGCCGGGCCTGGGGGTGAGGGGCCCCCACTGGGAATGGCCGAGTGTACCCGTGCGTGGGGCACCTGGTCCTCAAACCCTCCACCGCGCCCCGCCGGGAGGATGGCGGGCCCCACCCCGCTGCCCCGCCCCCACGGGCCGGCGGAGGGCGGCCTGGCGGCTAACAGGACCTCGAGCGCAGGTGCCAGTGGCTTCCCGGGAAGCCCGGGTGCAGCTGTGCCCCTTGCCCGCGGCCCCTGGCCTCGCTGCCCGGAGGGATTCCCCCTCACCCTCAGGAGCAGGGCAAGCCGGAGGCAGACGGGAGCTGCTGGGCACTGGAAGTGGAAACCAGGAGCTGGGGCTAGGTGGTGCCAGGTGGGGAGCCTGGGCCGCGGGGACAGAGCCCCCAGGGCCAGCCGGCCATGCTGGGCGAGGCCCTTGGGCACAGAGTATGGCTTGAGGCTGAAAGAGGGGTGGGTCCCATTAGCTCCTTGCTGACTTCCCTGGAACTATCGCTTCCCTCTGCCCTTCGGTCACTACCATGTGATGGTCAGGTGAGGGCTGGGTGTTAAAGAGTTTCTAAGCTGCCCCAGCCCAAGGGGCTGCAGCGCCTGGAGCCGCCCCGCCCCCAGCCTGTGAGCTTCTCCAAGCTTCTCCAGCACCCAGAGCTTGTGAGAATGGACAGGACTAGCCAGACGCCCGGGAGCCATGCGATGTAGTTGGGCTGCTAACCGCAAGGTCAGCATTTTGATACCACCGGCTTCTCCGCGGGAGCAAGACGAGGATGCTCTCTTGTAAAATGACAGCTTCGAAAAACCCACGGGGCCACTTCTTCCCTGCCCTGTATGGTCACTCTGAGTCACCTCGGGGGCAGGGAGTTGGTTTTGGACACCGCCTCGTGGCGCCACCTTGTGTGTCAGAGTAGAACTGTGCTCCAGAGCGTCTCCGATGGGTGGATTTTCGGGAAGCAGAGCGCCAGGCCTTTCTTTGTCGGCACCTGTCGGTGGATTCAAGCAGCTAGCCCTTCGTTTGGAAGTTCTCATAGCAGTTGGAAGAAAAGGGCCCATGATGGCACAGTGGTGCCGATTTTCACCAAGAGCAGTTGGGGAGGGGGATTAAGGAGTGCTCTGTGCATTATCATTACAGGAACTATTTGGGGGTGGCACAGAGCAGGGCAGCTTCTCACCCCATTGTGCATGGGGTGCCCATCAGCTGGGGGCTGACTTGACAGAAAGCAGCAACAACTACATAGAACAATCAGAAGACCTTTCCACTAACTTGGGGGTAGTTCTACCCCGTCCTACAAGGTCGCCATGAGTCACCATTGACTCGATGGCAGTGAGTTTGTTTTTGTTTGGGGCTTCCTTCACGGCGAGAGGAAGACGAGCCTGTCTGCTCCTGTAAAGACTGACGCCTTGGCAACTCACGGGGGTCGTTATGGGTTGGATGGCAGTGAGCTTGGAATTTTATTTCACAAAGGATTTGAAAGGTGGGAAAAGCACCTGTCTGGATAAACACGCGAAGACTTTCACTGGCACCGAAGAGATGCCATATCACTGCAAAACAGGCAGAGGGTAAACCGCCCGGCGATCCAGGGGTCTGTGGGAGAAAGAACTGGCCTCATCTCTTTCTGACGCACTAGGTAGAAGCTGTGGGCCAAGGAAGCCCCAAAACAACAACAAAGAAAAAGGCCTGAGCTTCCCCAGGTGGGACTTGAAGCTTCCCGGGTAGGGTAGGGAGGGGGTGCCTGGAACTTCCCTGGGCAAATCTCACCCTATTTCCCTGTCCTTCTCACACGTGCGCGTGCGTGTGCATGTGCGTGTGTGTGTGCGTGTGTGTGTGTGTGTGTGCACACACCTCAGCCAGGTTGGAGCCAATCTCTAAAAATCAGTAGGAGGGGATGGTGAGGAACAGAGAATGATGAGTAGGTGTCTGGAGATATTCAATAGGCGCCTGCAGAGGCCTGCCCCAGATGGCCCAGGGTTAGAGACCACCAACCCTCGGGCAGTTTGACATCTGATAGGGCCAGGGCACTGAAGAGAAGAAATGCCAGTGTATTACACCAGGTGCCACAATGGAGTGGACTCAGACTGGCGGCCCAGGAGAGAGCATTTGGTTAACTCCATCCTGGGCCTCTGGGTGGCAACAGCGATCCAGGGCTCACTTAAAATAACCTAAGCTAACTCACTGCCATGGTGTCGGTTCCACCGGACAGGGACGCTGTAGGATAGAGGAGAACTCCCTCTGTGGGTTTCCGAGGCTGTCACTCTTCACAGGAGTTGAAAGCCTGGTCTGAGGAGCAGATGGTAGAGGGCTCCCAGCCAGGCTTGCTTAGTAGCTGAACAGGTGATGTCTTGTTCTCACCCAGAGATGTCCCCAAGGCAGACCAAGTGCTCTCTCTGCTCCAGAAAGGCCATCCCCCTGACAACCCAGGGAACAGTTCTACAGTGACATGCATGGCATCATCTGAGTGGGAAGTGACTCCACAGCAACCACCACCAACATTTGGGGGCAGGCCTGGGCCTGCCCAAAAACCCAGCCCCTCCGCGACACATTGGTTCCTCACGGTGACGTCATGCGTTGTGTAGTAGAACTGTACTCTACGGTGTGTGTGTATGGGGGTGGTTATATTTGGCTGTGGTCTTGCAGGCAGTGGGTCACCATCTCTTCCTTCACTCTATAACACTTGGGCTCCCCAGGGGTCGAGTCAACTCAACACCAACGAGTTTGGAGTTTGGTTTTAGAAGTGGGCTAGGCCTTGAGTGGGGCAAATGGTGCATGCACTTGGCTGCTAAGTGAAAGGTCAGAGGTTCAAGGCCACCAGAGGGACCTTGGAAGAGGGTCTGTTAACCTGCTTACCACAAATGAGCCACCAGAAACCTTTGGGGACCCAGTTCTACTGTGACACATGGGGCCGCCATGAGTTGGCATTGACTCAACCATTTGGGGTGTAGTGGGTAGGACTTGGAAAGCATTCCAGGGGACCCCAGATAGAGTGATAGAGTGGATGGTGTGAGGTCCCCATCAGAAAGCTTGTCTCTCATTCCCACTGTCTGGCTGAGCCCCCATGACTCCTTTGCAGTTCCCTGAGGTGGTCCCGCTCAACATTGGAGGGGCCCACTTCACCACGCGCCTGTCCACCCTGCGGCGCTACGAAGACACCATGCTGGCTGCCATGTTCAGCGGGCGGCACTACATCCCCACCGACGCCGAGGGCCGGTACTTCATCGACCGCGACGGCACCTACTTTGGGTGAGTCTCTCCCTGCACAGTCACCCGTGGTCTCTGCAAGCCTGTCACGTGGGTTGGGGTTGGGACCTTTGGCATCTTCCTCCATTCCCAGAAGGCCACTGTCAGTATTGACGGCACAAACCCAGCAGCGGTCACGGAAGAAAGGCTTGGCAAATTGTGGTTGTTCTTGTTGGTTGTCTGCGCCTGCAGGTGCTGCAGGATGGACCTGCACACCTGGAATAGAACCCCAAAGAACCACGCCCGACTCACTGCTCCAGGGCTGATGCTGGCTCACAGCAAGCCTGCAGGACAGGGTAGAGCTGCCCCTGGGACTTTCCAGGACTGTCACTCTGAGGGAGTAGAGAGCCCCGTCTTTCATGGTTGCCAGGTGCACAGGGAAGGGGAGGAGGGAAGCAGTAAGCTAGAGTCAGTAGACAGGCGTTCACTTGGGGGACGGGAAGGACCCCATCCGGTATCAGACAAGCTGATTTCCCAGACTGTGCAGGTTTCTGAGGCTGTGCAGAGGCAACCCAAAACCACACACACTGCCATCCAGTCGGTTCTGACTCGACTGTTCTGTAGAATCTACCACGCTGTACATCTTGATGGAGGCAGACAGCCTCATCTTTCTCCCAAGGAGGAGGGGCTGGTGGATTCAAACTGCTGACCTCGTAGCCCACTAAGCCACGAGAATTTGGAGGGTTTTTTCCCCTCCAAGAGACAATGACAAAGAAGTCACAGACAGCCCATACACTACTTCTGCTGCTGGCCCTTTAAGACCAAGAAGTTGTCACCTGCATGGAAAGGAGTCAGTGAGACGCCACCTGGTGGCGAGGGTGCTGTAAAGCAGTCTGAGATCCAGACGGAGCTCTGGGGCCTTCAGTGTCCCCAGGTGGTCTCCAGACTCCGTCCCACAGTTCAAAGTAAAGCCACCGAAACCAGGCTCACTGCCATGGAGTCGATCGATGCTGATGCAGGGCGACCCTACAGGACAGGGCAGAACTGCCTCCGTGGTTTTTCGAGACTCTTAACAGTTCATGGGAGTCGAAAGCCTCATCTTTCTCCCGTAGAGGAAGCTGGTGGGTTCACACTGCTGGCCTTGCCGTTAGAAAGCCCAGTGCATAACTACCACACCACCAGGGCTCCTAGTTCAAAACAAACCCACCGCAAAAGGTCAGGAGGGGGCCCAGGCAGGGTCACCCTTCTTTGATTCCACCCAGAAAAGTCTTCAAAGTCCTCCGTTGTTCAGAAGGAACAGAACGTTTGTGCAATCAGGAACGATAGCTGCCCTGCACGCAGGCCTACCAGGCATGGAGATGGAAGCAGAAACCACTGGTGTGACCCCTCCCTCCGGCCCTGGGTGCCACAGATGGTTTGTGTTTGGTTACTAACCTACAGGTGAACAGTTCAAACCCACCCCGCGGCAGAAAGTCCTGGCAGTCTGTCCCCATAAAGATGATGGCTAACAAACACTGCCCACCCCCACACCCCTCACCCGAAGTGCAGGCCTGCTCTGTCCCACGAGCAGGTGCCCGCTCAGCGGCACCATCGCCAGCCACATCCCTCTCAGGGAATGTGGCCAACACTTTCCTCGCTCTGGAGGCGACCGAAGAACTGACCAGGCCCTTGACCTTGAATGAGATGACCAGAGAGGCAGAAAGCTTCCAAACCCCATGTCTCTGTGCTGGCTGCCGAGCCGGAAGGAACATCCACACCAGGGAAGATTCACATCTGTCTGCTTGGGAACATCCGGTGTCCCCTGTGGGCTATCAGCTGCCCCCCAAGGCCGAGAAAACAAAGTGTCACTTCGCTCCGCAGAGCTATAAAAAGATTTCTGTGCGCTGGCCGTGTGGGTAAAGACAGTGCTGGCTGGTCCCAGCTGGCAGCTCCTGTAACAGCTGCCTGAGCTGGGGCTCCCTCCAGGACTGGGCTCTCCAGAACTCACCAAGGCTCTCGGAAGGTTCTAGGGGACCTGTTTGGGCTTGGGTTGTACTTTTCACTGTCGTTGGGGCTGGAGGTATACAGAGCACATTGGTTTTCCATTCCACATTTTGTTTGTTTTGTTTCGGGAGAAGGGGTCTTGATCCCCTCAAGATGACAGCCCTCACCTCACTTCCTCCCTGGGTTCCCCATTTCCAGTCCTCCTCCTTACCTGCCCCTTCCTGCCTTCTGGACATGCCAGTTTGTTGAGGATTTTTGCAGCCGAGCTCTTCAAAGATAGTGTCCTATTGTTTTCTTCTGGGGGTGGGATATCTTTCCCTGGTTTGTGATCCCTGGTGGCATGGTGGTGGGTGCCTGTGGGGCAGCGATCCGCAGAGTCAGCAATTCGAAACCACCAGTCGCTGGGTGGGGGAAAGATGGTGGGCTTTGTACTCCCGTTAAAGAGCGACAGTCTCAGAAAGCCCCAGGGGCAGTTCTACCCTGTCTTAGAGGGTCACTGTGAGTCAGCGTCGCCTGGATGGCAGGGAGTTCACCTTGGTTTTGTCCCTGGTTTGGGCACAGTCCTTCCTTCTCTATCTTTTGAGAACGTTTAACCTGTATTGGTATCAATTCTTTAAGTGTTTGGTAGAATCCCCCAGTGAAACCATCTGATCCAGAACTTGTGGTGTTGTTGGGAGATTTCTAACACAGATTCCATCCCTTCCCTTGATATGAGTCTATTGAGACTCAGTTTCCTCTCGAGTCAGTTAAGGTACGTTGCAGCATCTAAGAATCTGTCCAGTTCTCCAGCCCAGGCAAGGCTGGGCGCAAATGGCGAAAGCATTGTGGGAAGAGAAGAACAAAGGAGAAGGACTCACTCTTGGTGATTTAACAAGCTTGTACACTGTACCACTACCACAATCTCATCAGCAGGGTTGCTATCACAGTAGGCCCACAGGCCACTGGAATAGAATCAGCCCACCCATCTACAGTCAACGGATTTTGGACAAAGCGGCCAAGTCCACTCCGTGGAGAAAGAAGAGTCTTTTGAGCAAGGGATGCTGGGAATACTGGCTTTCCACGTGCAGAAAAAACCAAGCCGGATCTATGCCTCCTACCACAGCCAAGCTCAAAATGGATCAAGGACCTACATGTGCAAATTAAAGCCAGAGCATTTTCAGAAGAACAAGTCGGGCAGCCCAGGCAGGCTCAGCTTTCAGCAGTAGATTATCCAAGAGGGAACAGAAGCAAAACAGCAAGAGATAAGTAAATGGGACCCCATCATATAAAACATTCATTCATCTCCCTCTGTGCACCGCCCCCCAAAAAAGGCTATATGTGTGTGCGTGGCAACTTAATAGCAGATAAGATAAACAATCCAAACGAGCAAAGGCCTATAATAGACATTTCACCAAAAGAGACGTTGAAGCAGTCACCAGACACATGAAAGGGTACTCCGTATCATTAGCCTCCAGAGAGGTGCCGAACAAAACCCCAGTGAGATGCCCTTTCATCTCCACTGGGATGTGAAAAGCAAATAAATAACAAAATAACGTTGAGGAAGATGGGGGGCGCTTGGAACCCCCCTCACCATTGCTGGTGGGAAGGCAGACTGGTACTGTCACTCTGGCCAACGGGGCGGGGGCAGCGGTTCCTCGGGAAACAAGAACCAGAACTACTGTATGGCCCAGCCGTGCCACCCCTACTCGTGGACCCAGAAGACACGTCCACCAGGGTTCACGACAGCACTGCCCACCGCAGCCCAAAGTGGAAACTAAACCACGTAACGCCCATCAAACATACCATGAGTACCCACTGCCCCGCCAGGAGGAGAAATGAAGTGGGACCCGTGCTACAATAGGGACTGAGCTTGAAGATGCGATGCTAAGCGAAGTGAACTGTCCATAAAAGGATGCACGTCGTAGGCCCTCACGTACAGAAAAAGTCGGGAAGGCAGATGTGTCCAGAGGCCAGAGTTGCTCAGTGGTTACCAAGAGCAACAGGGAGGAAGAACAGGCTGGGGGTGTGGAGCGATTCAGGGCAGGTTTGCACAGACTGTCACAGGACAACGTTGAACTGGCAAAAGTTGAGTGGTACATATGTTTACCACAGTGCCACCCACGCACCCTTCTTCCCGCCCCAAATAAAAAGTATATGCCGAGGCTGTTCAGGTACAACCAGACACCTGCTGGGATGTGGTTTCCTGGTGTGGAAGGTTCCAGTCACGGTTTCATGGCACATCCCAGCACAGCAGCCTAATAATGTGTTTGCTGCTCCTGTTGTACCTCCTAGTTTGTTGTGTAACACCTGGAGCTCAAAAGCTCACCTGTGGCTGTCCAAGGCATAATTGCCCTTGATTACTTGGAGCCACGGAGTCAGAAGGAGGAACAGGAAGTGGAACATGTGACTCACTGTCCCTGTGAACAGCTGCCTCCTTTGTGGTACCCAGCTACCATGCCTGAACTGTTTGAGCGAAGATTCCATCGAGGATTCAAAGGGGGAATATGCAGGCCAGAATTTCAAGTTCTCATGGAATCTAGAACTTTCTGAAGCCGTGCGGGGCGGATAAACCCCTGAAGCTAAGATCATCTTTAAACATTCAACCAGAAACATCCCTGGAGTCATCTTAAAATGGAACGGTAGTTTAGCTTAAGGAATCAAAAGTGTCTGCCTTGAGCCTGATGCTCTGAGGTAAGAAGCTTCGGCCAAGCCGGAAGGAGGAGCAGCTCGGAACAGGAGGTTAAGAACGGTTGCCTGGCTGGAAGAATACCCTCTGTGTCACAGACTCGTTTGTGTAGAAACTATTGAGTGAGCACGTTTGAGCCTCATGTACACTGTGCTTGGTAAAGTAGCCGGGCAGTGGGAAGGAGGAAGACCTCCAGCAAGACGGGTGGACACAGTGGCCGCCTTGATGGGCTCAAATGGGAGAATGACCATGCGATGGCGCCGGGCCGGGCCATCCTCATTTCATTCTGTTGTGCACAGGGGTCGCTATGAGATGGAACCAACGCCATGGCGCCTCATAACATCATTCTCCAAAAGGGGGGGGGGACCTCGACTTAGGAGAGGGCACGAAACTAAACTTCCTCCTCCAGGAGCCCCATCCGATTCTCATGGTGTGGATGGGAGACGTCCCCTCCCGTCCTGGGCAGCAGGAACCACTCTGAGCCCATCCAGAGTGCTCTGTGGTGTTGGCCACGAGGTGGACAATGGGGACCCCCTCCACCCACCCACTGCTGGGGGGCATGTAAAATGGTCCCCCCGCCTTGGGAACCAGAGTGAGACCTGCACCTACCCAGTGACCCAGCAGTGCCCCTCCTAGAAAGCTGGATCCACACACACCTGCGTTCACGCCAACAGGACGAACACCCACCCAGAGGCAGGAGCCACCTCGGTGTCCATCAAGTGATGAAGGAACAAGGTGGCACCACATCAAACCGGAACAGAACTCCGTGCCATCGAGGCCCTTCCGCCTCAGCGACCCTCAGAACTGCCCCCTGTGAGTTTCTGAGGCGGTCACTCTGCACGGGAGTAGAAAGCCCCATCTCTCTCCCTCGGAGAAGGGGCTGGAGGTTGCGAACCTCGCGGTCAGCAGCCCAACTCCTAATCGCTGTGCCGCCAGACCACCGGTCTGCACGCCCTGAAGGAGGAATGAGGTCTTGGTCGCGCTACAATATAGAGTGGAATAAACCAGCCAAAAAGGACCCATGTTGAGCGAGGTGACATATGCAGAGGCCGAGGGATGAGCTCTGGTGACTGCTTTTCTCGCCGGGCTGTTAACCACCAGTCAGCAGCTGAACCTGCCAAGCCACTCTGTGGGCGCTGGAAGCCGCCAGCTGCTCCAAGGGGGAAAGGTGGAACTTCCCCCTCCTGTGAAGGGTCACGGTCTCGGGAACTCGGGGGCCAGTTCTGTCCCACAGCGCCGCCCTGAGTCAGGATGGACTTGGTGGGAAGGAGTTCACATTGAATTGGCAAATGTTTCATTATATGTAGATTTACCACCACAAAACGAAAAGCAACATAAAGAGAGATTGGCCAGAGGTGGCCCAGTTCATGGTGGGCTGCAGGGGGCTCCGCGGCCCCTTCCAGCCAGGTGGAGGACACGTCTGGAAACAGGCTCATTCCCGGAAGTGAGCATCCTCGGCCTCACTCTGGGCCAGGGTGGCTCATCCTTCTGCCTGCCACCTCCTCTCACTGCAGTGCCGGTCACTGTATGTTGTGTAAATACAGTCTTTATTCCTGGGGACTGGGAGGGAAGTAGGTGGGGAAGCAAGGAGAAATGAATACTTACCCTGACCTCCCCCCCCAACCAATTTTCAACCCTGCCGAGCACGTTTCTACAGCATGCACGTGGGTTGCTGTGGGTCAGCATCGCCGTGGCAGCAAGGAGCTTGAGTCCCTCGTGCACGAACTGATCGTGCACGAACTCATCGCATCCTCTCCCAACACTGTGAGCTAGTGCCCCACCCTGCCCCATTTCACAGACCAGGAGACAGAAGCGACGGTGACTGGCCCAGGGGCCCCTGGTCACCAGCCCCCTCTCCTGCCCGCTCAGGGACGTGCTGAACTTCCTGCGCTCGGGGGACCTGCCGCAGCGGCAGCGGGTGCGGGCCGTGTACAAGGAGGCGCAGTACTACGCCATCGGCGCGCTCCTGGAGCAGCTGGAGAACATGCAGCCGCTGAAGGGCGAGAAGGTGCGCCAGGCGTTCCTGGGCCTCATGCCCTACTACAAAGGTGAGGGTCAAGTGCAGGGGGTGGGGCGGGGAGGGCCCCCAGCCCCCCTCCGGGACTTTGGTCAGCTCCTCTGCCACTTGCTCCCAGAGGACTCAGTCCGGAGTGGCTCCCCTTGTCACACAGCCTCAGTTTCCTTTTTGCTCTGGGGGCCCTGGGTGGCATCACAGTTCACACCCTCCGCTGCTCACCTAAAAGCTGGAAGTTCACGTCGAGCCTGAGGCGCTTAGGAAGCAAGGCCTGCTTCCGCAGCGCTTGTCTCTGCAAAGCCGACGGGGCGTGGCTCCAAGCTGACACCAGCGGGGAGGCCTTGAGTCTGAACCCGGACGGCCCCTGGACCTGGTTCTGCCTGTGCCCTTCCCCCCAGGTGCATCACAGATCATCGGGACTCCCCTGCCCCGCCCCACTACCCAACCTCCCCGGGTGCCCACTGCGTTTGCCCCCACAGACCACCTGGAGCGGATCGTGGAGATCGCCCGGCTGCGTGCCGTGCAGCGCAAGGCCCGCTTCGCCAAGCTCAAGGTCTGCATCTTCAAGGAGGAGATGCCCATCACGCCCTACGAGTGCCCGCTGCTCAGCTCCCTGCGCTTCGAGCGGAGCGACAGTGACGGGCAGCTCTTTGAGCACCACTGCGAGGTGGACGTGTCCTTCGGGCCCTGGGAGGCCGTGGCCGATGTCTACGACCTGCTGCACTGCCTGGTGACGGACCTGTCAGCCCAGGGTCTCATGGTGGACCACCAGTGCATCGGGGTGTGCGACAAGCACCTGGTCAACCACTATTACTGCAAGCGGCCCATCTACGAGTTCAAGATCACGTGGTGGTGAGTAGCCTGGCCTGAGCAGAGGCTTCCAGCAGGAGCCGGGGGCCCCTGGGCGGTGCCGGGGTCAGGTTTCTGCAGGGGTCACTTCCAGCATGCCCCTCAGCCCTGGACCTGCTGAGGGCAGCACAGCCGCCATTCCCCCGTAGCACCCCAGAGGCCAGCTGGCAGGGTTCTGGGGACCTACACTCCCCAAGTCCAACTTCGAGGCCTGGCCCTCCGAGCTGGTAGCTGATGGGGTCTCCAAGGGTTGGACCCGGAAGTCCAGAGAATCACTGTCCTCCTGAGTCTCGGACCCTCACGGAGGCACATAGCCAAATTAGGGTAGGCTCAGCACATCCCCTACTGTCCTTCCTGCCCACAGCTATGGTGGGAGTGGGGGGTGCCCCAGCCCCCAGCCTTTCCCAACTGAACACAGGAGCACCCCTCTCCAACTATGGGAAGATGTGGACTGCCCACCTGGTCCCCCTTCCCAGAGCGCAACCCTCACTATCTTGGGGAGATGTCACTGTAGTTGCCACAGCGGAGGACCACTTTGGCCTTAGATCGCCACCACGTTTACAGCCCGCCCTGGGGGCTCACTGCTCCCCACCTACCTCCTTCCTTGCTTGGGCAGGAGGGGTGTCTGTGTTAACCTTCTTCCAGAGGAAAGCTGAGATCCAAGCCTCCCTGCGGAGAGTCCGCGGTTTGCAGGCAGGACGCCTAGATCTTTCTCTTCTTAGAGGTGCAGCCGCCTCCTGGGCTGCCGGCCAGTCGTGGGGTGAACCCCCTTTCTATCCCCCAGTGGGTGTTCACTCTGCTCTGAGCAGCAAAGGAGGGGCCAGGCAGCAGCCCCAGATGATGAATGCCCCTGTGTGCTGCTCCTGCCGCCCACAGGGAGACCCCCGCCTGCCCGCTGCAGCCCAGTGGACGGGCAGGCAGGCGGTCTTTCAGGCAGGCACGAGTCAGAATGCACCAGCTCTGACCCTGAGACCTCCCTCAGGAGTGTTGGCTCCTTCCCCAGTTCTCCAAGGGATGTCTTCAGAAGCTGATGGTGTGTGGGTTAAGCTTAGGCCTGCGAACAGATAGGTGAGCAGTTCAAACCCACCAGCCGACCTGTAAGAGAAAGGTGAGGCAACCTGCTTCTACTCAACAGTCACAGCCTTGGAAACCCTGGGCCAGATCTAGCCTGTCCCGCAGGGGCCCTCCTCCGGAGTGGGGTTTAGAGAATTGCTGAGGGCATGCACTTGGGTCTCACAGGAGCAGACTAGGAAGTAGAGGCAAGGGCTGGCTGCCGAAGAGAGAGAGCCAGGTTCCAGGCTCGGGCCACCTACCTTCTGGGACTGGTGACCAATGCCCTGGTGCCTGGGGTGGTGGGCGGGGGTGGAGTGGGTGGAGTGGCACCTGAATGTCACTCTGATGTGAGTGGAGGCACAGTGGAGACTGATTTCTGAGCCGGGAAGACAGGCCTGCAGCTTCCCAGGCAGGGGCAGGGGGACATCCTCTCTCCTCCATGCCTTCAGGAGCTGAGGGCCTGCCTGCAGCTTCTCCCCAAAGCCTGGCTCCTGACTCATTCTGACAGCAACACCCGCCCTTTCCATGTCCCCAAGAGGCAGCGCTGCCCAGCTCTCTCTTGGCAGCCCCAGAGCTGGCTGCTCAGGAGAAAGCTGGGGCAAGTGGAGCCCAGTGCACAGGGCAGTGGTCAGCAGGGCAGCTCGCACTGGGCCCTGGGTCCACCCTTTGAGACATGGAGCAACTGCCCACTCACATGCACATTTGCTCAGGAAAGGGCCAGAGACTCACTGGGTGCTGTGGGGACCCCGAACAAGGACTAGTCCCCAAGCGCTTTTCCCAGCAGTGGACGCTGGGCCAGGTAGGGAGACAGGGCAGGCAGGCAGGCAGAAGGGAGACAGGCCGCCCACTTGGAGTGCTTTCTAATGGAACCAAACAACTCTAGTGGCCCGGTTTGAGAGGCCAAGGCCAAGCGAGGGGGCAGCGTCAGAGCTGTGCCCTGTGGTTGTGGCCTCCAGAGAAAGGGTCACCCTTGAGGCAGTGGCTTCCGCCAGTCAGTTCCCGTCCAGCCCTTGATAGCCGGGCCCAGCGCTGCTCCAGGAAGGAGGGCCCCAGGTCAGTGCCCCTCACCCACCTCAAGACCGGCCAGCGGCCCCTAGGGAGCCAGACCCCGGATGTGCCACCATCCGTGGAGTCTGGCGTTTCCCTCCCAGGCGCCAGGTTCAATAGGCTGGCAGGTGGGCATCTGAAGAGTGTGGGCCGTGGCGCAGTGCCAGCCTGGACGAGCTGCAGTGTGCACACATTTAAGAATCCCGCAGCAACGACAGGAAGAGGCTATAGCCAAAGACCAGAGGGGAGGGATTCCACCAGTACTGTTCTGAGCAAAGGGGGGCTGGGGACTCCCACTTCTGGATGGTTCTCCGGGCTGCCCGCTGTTCCCTGTGCAGGAGGCGGCCACCCACTCTGCAAAGCTCCCCCTGCTGTCCCGGGGTGGGGGGGCTCCATCTGAGCAAGTGGTTTGACCCTCCCATCCCGGGTGGTTCTCTGGAGGAATGGGAAGACGACATTTGGGGGGACGGTGTGTGAGGTGGACCACCGAAGAGGCTGTGAGAAACCACCGCCAGACACCACAGGCTCTTCACACAGCGTGTCTGACCCCAGGCAGAAACTCCAACGCCTGCCTCCTGCACCCACCTGATGCTCGGGAGAGTTCCCAGGTCTCCCTGACTCTGGATCCTGACTTAAAGAGCTTTCACCCACCAAAGCTGTAGTGTGGGGGTGGCAGGTGTGGCAGTGGTGGGAAGAGGCAGTGTTTCGATTGTGGAAGAAACAAAACATTGCATGTATGTCCATGTGTGTACACTGGGGCAGGGGCTGGGCACCGTGGGAACAGAGATTGGGGGTGTGGGGAAACAGGCAAGCACCGGGGCATGTGGGAAGCCCCCTGGCCCCGCGTGTACCTTCTGTGCATGCTGGACTGTGGACATGGGATAACATGGCCCATGCATGTTCATGCCCCGCTCTGTGAGCACTTGGGGGCACAGGGCCTGGGGACCCTCGGGCGGCATTAAAGTCGAACATCAGAGTCATGGTGTGCTTTCATTTCTGGAGGCCTGCTCTCCTCCCTTGCTGCCCCCACACTCCCTTCACCACTTGCTTTCCGCAGAACTCGGGGTGCATCTGGAAGGTGCTGCACCGAATAGAAAGGCACCCCCCAGATTTTGCCATCAACCTTGCTTCATGTGGGGTCTGCCTGAGAGGCACTGCCCTGAATAGAGCGGCTGCTGCCCTGACTGAAGGGGGATCTCCACAGAAGTTCTGGAATGACTCCAGCCCTGTCTCAATCCAGGTGGGCACCATACCTGTTGTAGCACAGGCAGACAGCTCCGCCCTCCCATCAGGTGACTCTGAAGGAGTCCCTGATGAAGTTTCTCCACTGCCTTCTGAGGGGAGAGGCAGGGCTCAGGTCCCCTGAGAAAGATGGATGTACGGCTGCCCCACCTCTGAAGCAGAGTCCAGCACCTTCCTGGCTAAGGAGTGGCCTCACTGGCATGCCCCTTGGTGTCACTTCCTGGGTGAATCAGGAAAGGTGAGTTCTGAAGAGAAGGGAGCTACACCCCCCTCCAGCTGCCCCCACCCTCATGTCTCTGCATCATTCTGACCTTTAATCAAGGCACATGTGTCCCCTGGCACAATTACTGCCTGTACACACAACCCAAAGTCAAAAGGCACTGTGACCGTCTGATCTGGCAATGAGCAGACATACATACTGATGTTTACTGCAGCAATTTTCATAATAGCAAAAACACAGAAGCAACCCTAAGCCCCAATAAGAGAAATGAATAAACTCGGGTACATTCGCACAATGGAATGTTATGCATCAATTAAACACAATGATAACTCTTAAACACCACAAGACATGGACGAAACTAAACATTCTTAGCAAACTTCATCAATCTTCTAAAGGCAAATATTTAGTAACACCATTATTATAAAGAAAAACAGAAACCGGTTTCTACACCAAAAGACAAGAATAGGCAATAGGGAGAGGTAGAGGACAGGATACTGAGGGAGGGAGGGTGGAGCGAGAAAGGACCACATTTATGGAAGGTTTAGCAGGATGTTGATTCATTTGTTGAGATTGGCTGGGTAGCTATATAGTGTGCTTTACAACAAAAATCCCTCTATGTGCCTTATCTCTCAGCCCTTAATTTTGGTCTGAGTGACTAAAAGAGAAAAAGTACAACTGAAATGAACGTGGAGTCTTCAGCGGCAGACAAGTGCACTGCAAACATGAAAAAAAAGGACATTGGTTGTCAGGCCTGTTCCAACCCCAGACCCTGCTGTACAACAGAGGGGAACACTGCCCCACCACGGCCGCAGCACTGTGTCAGTGGAGAAGCGTCCTCTTTGCCCTAACTCTGACCTCAGTGTCAAGCTCCAACCCACCGTGGTTCCTAGAGCTGCCCGATGTGCAGGAGCGCATCAGAAAGTTCTGGGAAAATTCCCTTATCTTTTATCTCATTTTTCCACAATTTTTTTTGAAGTGCCCACATATTCCAGACCCTTACTGTTCTCTTGGATCATTGGCAAGGCTACTTGTTGAGGATGGGGAGCCACTGAAACGCTCCAGCGCTGCTGGTGGGAATGCAGACTCTCAGTAACCCACCCTGCAGGATCAGGTGACAGGTTCAGGAATGCAAATGCAAACACACACACGTTCAAGAATGCAAACAGACACACACACACACCCTTCACCTGGCTGCCCCACTGCTATGCATCCATCCAAGAGAAGCAAGAACACAGACCACAAAGGCTAGTCCAGGGAATCCACTTAAAGAGATTGTGAGTTCAAGTACAGGTTGGGTCCTTCCCTCCCAAGTTACCAGACTCAGAGAAACACTGCCATCGATGCGGTTCCAACTCCTGGTCGCCCTGTAGCGCAGAGAAGGGCCCCGTGGGTTTCCGAAACTGTAGGAACCAGACAGCCTTGTCTTGCTCCCGGAGCAGGGCTGGTGGTTTCACACTGCTGAACTTGTGGTTACTCAACCCATAGCCCCCTACACCACCAGGGCACCATGAATCCTGTTGAATTACAGAACAAAACAGTGCCAACCCTGCACCATCCTCATGCCTGGAGACATGTTTAAGCCCAATGCTGCGCTTGAAGACAGTGAAGTATCTTTCAACCAACACCTTATGCACTCCCAGATTTTGCTATTAACCTTAACACAAGCTCAGTATCTCCTAAACATTGAATCTCCCCACCCTCCCCCACTGACTTGTGGGTATTTCATAGGAAATTGTGTCATCGTTTCAGTCGGCTCTTTCCCTGTTTCATAGTTTTATGGAGGTGAAATTGATGAATAAGCTGTCTTCACTACGAGAGTTGTGTTGGTCAATTTGATGAATCTTCATATAGGTGTATCTTGGGAAACCATTTGCCTAATCAAGCTCACAGTCATCACCTTCAGTTTCCTCAGTCCCTTCTCTGGTGACCCTCTATCCCCATAAACACACACCTGCTTTCCATCACTAGAGTCTGGGGTCAAAGATGAGGCTGTTTGCTTCTGCTTACAGTCTCTGAAACCTGATAAAGGGTCGCTGAGTCGACTTGATGGCAGATTTTTTTTGGGGGGGGGTGTTGGTGGGGGGATTAAAGGTACTGGAAGGGGCCTCAGGGGTGCAATGGATTAAGCCTCTGACTAATGGAAAGGTGAGCGGTTCAAACCCCTATGTACACCCCCCCCAAAATGGGGCTATCTGCTCTCCTAAACGTACAGCCTGGGAAACCTCATGGAACCAGTTCAGTTCTGTCCTATAAGATCTCCTGAGTGACGGCAGGTCATGAATATTTGCTCCTCCCTCTCTTAGATGCAAAATAGCCCAAATCCTCCGTGTTACTCCCTCTTGCATCCTGGCGCATGCACTTTGAAGAACCAATCCCTCAAACGCTTGCAAATAAAATTAGGCAGCCCGCCCAAGGTCAGAGGTGGCGACTCGCAAAGGGCGTTGTCCTCAATCCAGCTCTGGCGCCGAGACACTGCAGCGGGATCCCGGTACTTGTCCTCCCAGAATCTGCACTTTGTGCCACCGAAGGCATCCCGGATACAGAGGCTGTCGGAATGTCGCCGCTGTTGGCAACATTCCCGAAGTGACAATCACAAGAACTGGATTCCATCTGTGCACACCGGCCAACTCCTCTAACTTGACCGGGTCACGGAGATGCCCTACCAGCGGCTTTCGGGCCAAATCATCTCCTTACGAGCCTTTAAATGGGATGCTTCGAAAGCCTTTCAGGTCCGTGACTGTGTGGGATTCATTAGCTCCGGAGGCGGCCACGTCCCCTTCGAACTTCTCGGCCCCTGGGCCCCGTCTCACGACAGCCAAGGGAACACGGGGGCG